CATCAAAAACTATTGTGGACTTCAATTCGGTCTAAGGGCTCAGAATTAAATTATGTCTTTGTAGATAATAAAATAAAGATATCAACCTTGTTTAAATGTATTTAAAATTTTTAAATTATAATACAAAAGTTTTTAACATTAATAATAGTACACTGAAATGTATAATCTTTAAACTTTTTATCTGAGAAAATTGTAAATCAAACAATTGTGCAGAATAATACAGTGAGATCCTATGTACTCTTTACCCAGTATCCCCCAATGGAAACATCTTGCAAAACTATAGTACAGCATCAATATTAGGATACTGACACTGATGCAGTCATGTCTAGACAGTTCCATCACCACAAGAATCCCTCAGGCTGACTTTTTATGGCCACCTTGACTTCCCTGTAATCAACCACCTTTCTTAGTCCCTGAACACAAATCTGTTCCTCATTTCTATAATTTTGTCATGTCAAGAATATTCTAAAAATAGAATCATACAGTATATAAACTTTTGGTAGTCCTTCCTTGGGTTCCAAGATTACTAGCCAACCTACCTTCTTTCTGCCTTTCAGATTCTCCCTACGTTTGTTATATATATAATGCCCAAGGGTTTTAATTGTACTTAGTGGGGGAGTTACAGAAAAGTACATTTATTCCAACTTCCTGGAAACAGAAGTTCAAATGATAGAATTTTAGACACTAAGGTTGTCATACTTTCAATTACTACAATTGAATCTTTTAAAACACTTACAAATAGACTTCAATTACCTCTTACCTATTAGCTTCTAAGTGAATTTCTGGGATATACCATCATAATTTGGTTTGTAGATTTTTTTAAAAAGTATTTCAACCTGATTTAGTTATAGAGAGAAAATATATCCTTTCAGCCAGTAATGATATCAAGATGATATGTAATTACCTATCAGGTGAATTAGAAGTGAACAAATCATATTAGATGTATCAAGGTGAAAAGATGAATAAAAAGAAACAGATTTAGGCTTAGCTCAGCTTTGAATGCCAAAGGCTAAAACAACTAGAATACTTTGAGTTTTTCAAAGTGAGTAATTGTATATTTGCCTAGTGTCTTTCATTATTATTATAGCCATTTTTTAAAAGGAACAAAATAAAATAATTGTATTTTAACTCCAGGTACTCAGATTTACTATGACAACATAAGTCACTGTTTGCTTTGGGCACCATCACTACTCTTCACATTGCCCAAACTTCTCCAAACTGGGCCATTTGCTCCTCCATGAATAATAATTTACACCTTCCCAGAGCTTTTCTGAGATCTGCTTGGAAGATGTCTTCTCCTTTCCTCTCTCAAAGTCCTTCCATCTCTTGAGGTTTATCTCCAATGTGCCAACCTGCACCTTACCGTGATAATTAATTGCCAGCTCTTGGGGGAGACAGAAATTGTGTTCCGTCTTAAAGGATGAGTTAGAATTGTTCAGAGGTGCAAGGCTGGACAGGCAGGGGAGGGAGGAGGCATAGGGCATTCACATGATTTGTTGGTTAGAATAGGCTAATGAGTTAAAGAACAGAGGAGGAAAACTACCTGATATATTTCAGCAAACCACCAAACAGCTTACTACTGGCATCAATTTTGAGACTAGGAGTGGTGGGAAATGAGGCTAGAAGGGGAGCTAAGTATAACATTAGGAAGGGTTTGTATTCCATGAAAAATATCATACTTTTTTAGTAACCATTTAGTAGACATTCGATTTTTTTGTTTGTCACTTAGTAGACATTCAATTTTCTTCCTTCCTTCTGACACTTATCTCAATTTACTTCAAATTATAATCGCATATGTATCTTTGCTACAAGATTGCAAATTCCTTTAGGATAGGATTGTATCCAAAACAGTGGCTCTAACCGGGGGAAATTTTGCCCTTTAAGGGATATATGGCAATTTCTGCTGACATTTTTATTGTCCCAAATGTCATCTGTCTTGATGGTAGGATATTACTAAACATCCTATAATGCACAAGAGAGCTCACAAAATATTGCTTAACCCAAAATATCAATGATGCTGAGGTTGGAAATCCTAGCTTAGTTCATCTTTGCAGCCAGGTAGCAAATGAGCAGAGTTGCACATTATTGGAGACAGTCAGAGTTGTCAGAAATGATTTGAAACCCCTCTTCTGTAGGTGAGTTTTATAAATCACCATGAGGGAGTGAAAATTAATTGGAAATTTATATGGTGTAGGAAAATTAGAAGATAACAGAGGTTTATGAATCTTGATTAATTTGGGAAAAACAAATTTTCATTTGTATTTAGAGGAGACCAATTTAAAAGCTAAAGTTCTCTTAATCAGCAAGCTTTTGTAATGAAATGCAGCAGGATTTACTTTTCTATCAAAGCCGCTCCCTTGATAGTTAAAGAATGCAACCAAACACAATTAAAAGATCACTGGTAAGCAGAATACAGCGCCTTCCCTGAATTCTGGGAGAGTGGTGCAGTTAATAATCTAGGAGCTTAATGAAAAGTTAAACTTTTTTGGTTCTGAATCTATCAATGTTGTTTACCTACATTTTTATATCCAAAAGTGATGAAATAGTAAGAATCAAAAGAAAATTTGTGATTTTGTAAAAAAAATGTTTTATCGATAATTCAAGTAACAAATATTTAAAACTGAAAAGAAGAGATAAATTATTAATAAATCTGTAGCAATTAGCCATGGATGGTAAGGACTTCATGTGGAGGAAGGGAAGGAGCTATAGACATGACTGGGGCATTTAATCAAACCATTGCCTCTTTACCTAGCTACAGTCATATCCAAGTACCAATGACAGAGTATCCATGGGGCCAGGCCACTCAATGATTAGAGATTTTTATGGGTCCTGGTGGATAAAAGATTAAGAAGTGTTAGTATAATCCAGTGATGGCAAACCTATGACATGCGTGTCAGAGGTGACATGCGAACTCATTTTTTTGGTTGATTTTTCTTTGTTAAATGGCATTTAAATATATAAAATAAATATCAAAAATATAAGTCTTTGTTTTACTATGGGTGCAAATATCAAAAAATTTCTATATGTGACACGGCACCAGAGTTAGGTTAGGGTTTTTCAAAATGCTGACACTCCGAGCTCAAAAGGTTCGCCATCACTGGTATAATCTATTTTTCCAGTACCCATGAAAATGCTTAAATCACAATATGACTTTGTTTGGTCAAATCAAAATTTCTGCTAAAACCAAATGGGAGACACTGGTTTTTAATAATACTCTGTACTTGAAAAATCAGTCCCATAAAAGCAATGATCCTTATGATTCTATTATATAAGAAAATAGTTCTTACTATCACTATTTTATTGCCAATAGCAACATATAATTCAATGAAAAAAATGCTGGTGGTTGATTTTTTCTTTAAAGAAAACTAACTCTGCTAATACAACATCAGTGGTGGTATCCTTATTTAGCTGTTTATTTGTGCACTGGTTCAATGCTGGTGGTTGATTTTATTTTTTTTTTAAGAAAACTAACTCTGCTAATACAACATCAGTGGTGGTATCCTTATTTAGCTGTTTATTTGTGCACTGGTTCAGATACTGCATTGGGGGCGGGTACACATTCCCTCTCATCCGGGATCTGAAAGCAAAAGCCCTTGAAGAATATGTTGCACAGCCTTCTCTCCCATCCATTCCTCCCGGAGCAGGGTCACTGCTTCTGAGCCAGGATAGCCAGTGCTTCATCCCACACCGGTTCTCTTTGGAAGAGAGTTTGAAACTGTCGCATGGTACTTTCTCCTTCAAACCCAAATTAGAGATTTCCTAAAGTTTCCTTTAACTGGACCCCCCTTTGTCTCCAAATAGTTCTGTGCTCATTACATCACTATCAGTGTCCCATCCACTTAAAATCCTCCACTCACATCTTCCAGAAGGATCGCTGCCAGCTAATACAAGATCTTCAGTAGGCTCATCACGCAGGGCCCTGCTCCTCAGCTTCCCGATGGGAGGCTGCAGCCTTTCCTAAGGTCCCCTCCCTTCCCCACACCAAATGCTGTCGTGGGAGGTCAGGACCCAACGCTTTTCTGAAATGCCATCGTGAATAATCTTCATCACCGTTCTGAGAATGTGCTTTTAAAGATTATTTAACTGGATTATTTTGGGTAATAATTTTTCTACTTATCAGGAATGATAATAGTTTGCTTCCTTCCAGCAGTGCTCATAACTTGACTAGCCGTTCTGAGGACATACTTTTAAAGATTATTTTTTTTAAAAAAGATTATTTAACTGGATTATTTTGGGTAATAACTTTTCCACTTATCAGGAATGATATTAGTTTGCTTCCTTCCAGCAGTGCTCATAACTTGACTAAATAAATAGACTGATATGAGGGAATGCAATCTAAGGGGACAGATATCACAGGACTTTGCCATGCTCCTGTACAGGGACCCATTTCAGTCAGTGAAGACTTGCCTGCCCATGGGGGCCTTTCTGCGCTGTGTTTCAGAAAAGACAATGTGATGTGTGCAATCCTGACTTTAGTGCATTGGGATACTCATCACCCACAGGCGTCCACCTCATCCTAATTAGACTTGGTCTGCCCGGTTCCTGTTCGAGGTCTAAATAAGAGGTCTTTTTACTGATAGAGTGTTCATGCCACATACCATGGAATCTCCTTAATATTTTCCCCTGAAAGCATTTTTATGCTAGTCAGTGGCTCATGTAGGTAAATTAGAAGTTGATTGGCACAAATGCAAATGTTATTGCATTAATGAGTGGCCATAATTCCTTTTTCCTTTTCCTGCATCTACAATAACTTGTTTTAGATTGCCTGGCAATTAGCAAGTCTTACACATAATTGCAGGTCAGAGGAAAATATTTCTTTATCATGCAGATAGACGTCACTGGAATCGGGATTCCACACTGGAGTCAGGATCCGGTCTGATGGACCATCTTGGAACACTAGACCTAGTCCTAAACTGCCTGCCTTTGAAAAGTCACGCCCCCAGCGAGCTCCAGTTCTGTTGCCTTTGCCTCCTGTCTAAAGCACCTTTGTTTTGTTTCAGCTGGCAGGGTTCATCTACGCCTGTTATGTTGTGAAATGTATAACTGAAGAAGAGGACAGCTGTAAGTACTAAAGCTCTATTCTGTTTCTTTCAAGCTCAAAGCATCTTCCCAACTGCCTCCTGCCTAGCCTTCCTCGTGCTCAGACAATGTCCCCCAACATGTCATTAGAACAGGCGATAAGCCTTTCGTATCCATAGGGCTCAAGTGTTTTCATAAAAGTATAGAGGATATCAAAACAACTGGGGAAGGATTCATTTTGAAAACATATTTCTTTTTTATTGGAAAGTACTGTTAAGATCTTATAACAATTCAAGTAGGAAATAGGAAGGGGCAACTGGAGATGGAAGTGGTTTTTCAAATTGGTTAACTTGACTGTTCTGTTTCTATAAACCTTTTATTAGGTATCGATAACTAATCAGTTTTACCCAGGACTACAAGCCTTAACAATCAACAATAGTTCCTAAAACTCTCACAAGAATTAACTTCGGATTAATTCAAGAAGTTTGTCTTCAGGAAAGCAAATGTTTATATTTCCTTTTTGTTCCTACTCTTGGATGCAAGTGGCTAGAACTCCGTGTCTGAGTCTCAGCGTTGAGTCCTATTGCTTGGTCCAGAGTTGAAACGGCAGTGCCCTCCTGCAGGCCTTGAGTGGCTCCACTGTCCTCTGCTCTTCCAAAAACAGCAGGTGCAAGGTTTCACTCCGCCCTTGCACCTAAGGATCTGAAAGAGGGGGATTGGAAAAAGACTTCGAGTCTCTCTGAGTGCTATCTTGGATACTTGCCCATGTACCTATATTTACTCAGGGAAAAAATCAAATTGGGAATCATGCTTTTTGGTTTCCAAAAATATTCATAATGATGGGGTTTTGAGACAGAGGGGAAAAAAGTCAAGAATTCACTGCTCTTTTACAGGATGATTTGAGGAATACACAGTACATAGTTTATATTATTTTATGTATGAAAGGAAATGATGGCCCTTTTGCTAAAAAAGCATTTGTAAAACATTTTTCAGTGTATCAAGTGCTCTGTGAGGCTTTGGAGATTTTAAGATTGGTAGCACACAATCTTTTACCTCTAGGAATTTACCATCTGGTAGGAAGAAGCAATCGTGTGGACAAATGAGTATAAAACCCTCCAGAGTGCATAGTGGGGGGAAATAGGAAAGGGACCAGGATAATCGTTATAGAGAAGGATACTCTTACACTCTTGAGCTTGGTCTTGAAGATGAATAGATGAAAGATGACTAGGGTAGCCAATGTGGGAGTAAGGTGATTCCAGGTAAAAGGTGAGAAAGCACCAAGGCATCACATAGCTGGTCATGTTGGGAGCACAAAAGCCAAGTTAATATGACTGGGTTGTGTTCTGTGCTAGAGGTGGGCATCCAGAGAAGATTAGAAAAGAGAGCGTGGATGAGACAATAGAAAAATGGTATGACAGAGTAAGGAATTTGGACCTTATTTTGTATAGCATGATGGCAAATCAATTGGCAGGTAGCTTATAAAAACAGAATAATATAATCAAATTTGTACTTGAGAAAAATCCCAGTGGTGTCAGTGTGAAGGAAAGACCAGAAGCAGTGGGACAGATTAGAGAAAGGGAGACTTGTTAGACATCATGACAATGACTGAGATATGAGATCATGAGGTCTGGACCGGGTTGTAGAAGGACAGCATAGATATGATAGGAGACATGCTGAAACAGAGTGTTAATGGGCTATGGGTGGTACTGTGTAAGGGACAATGAAGACACTGATAGGTTCCTGGGTTTCTGGTATAAGTGAATGGGTACATGGAAATGTCACTTGAGGAAAATAGAATGGGAATGTGAAAATGGGTTCCATTTGAACAGGTTGAGATGAAGATGCCTAATGAATATGCAAGAGAAGACATCTATGAGTACTTGTCTTATGCACAAAAGATGTATTCCAAGTTAGGAAGGGTAATAGATTAATGGATTCTTAAATGCATGGACCCCACAAACTATGGAAGTGCATTCAGATATTACCATGCAGTGTTTTTGTGCCAAATCTTTAATGAAAGGAAAGTCTACAGGTTAAATTTCATATGAGAGTTGAGTTCCTTTGGCTATAATGATTGGTTTCATTTCACAATGACACCAGTGCATTTTTTACTTCAGAAAATACTGACACGCCAACTCGCCTAGACAGATAATCAGTATCTCTCAAGAATAGTATCTCCCAGAGGGGACCCTAGAAATACTGGTTCCACAAGATATACTGCTCAAAACTAGATCCCAAAGCCAAATAAGTTTGACACTGGAAATTTAGAATGTACATTTACACAGTCACATCTTTGTGACCACTGCAATAAAGAAGTATATTCAATTTTTCTTAATCCACGATTGAGCCGTATTACATTGGATGACATATAGTGAGGCCAAACACAGATCACAGCGAGAAGCCACAAATCGTTTTGCAGTTTTATTATACTCATAGTGTCCTGGGGCGAACACTTCATGCCACATAGGGCCACACAGAAAGCTCCAAGGTAGATCACAAGGCAGAGAGAGAGAGCAAACTGTGGGCAAACACCTTTACTGTGTTTTTTTCCATCTAAAGAAATGGATAAGGCAGGCTAAGCAGGTTGAGTACTAGCTAGCTAACTGTAAAAGTGGCACCTTGTGAAGTGCATGTTCACTTGACTATTAAAGAATATAGTTTGGGGCTATCTAAATACCACATGATCTCACTCACTTGTGGAATATAAAGAACATTATAAACTGTTGAAAAAAAATAGATACAGAGGCAAAGAAGCATAGAACAGACTGTCAAACTACAGCAGAAGGCAAGGAGGGTTGGGGGGCTAAGAGATCAACCGAAGGACTTGTATGCATGCATATCAATGGGGGAAGGGAGACATGTATTACTATTTATAATACCTTAAACAATAAGATAAATAAAATCTAAAAATAAATAAAGTCTCCAGGTATTTTAGGTGAGCTAGGGCTTACTTGGGATCAGCCAGTGGTCATTTTGTAGATGTTAAGACATCAATTTACAAAAGTTAAAAGTATAATAATAACCCAAACACCTGAACACAGAATGCTTTTTCATAAGAAGTCTTAATATTCCAGAGAATTGGAGTTCCAGAAAACACATTTTAGGGAATTCACCCTAGATCTAGTTTTGGCCAAAAGCAAATATGTTTTGGAAGATCAGGTTTATCTTTCAAGCATCTAATCAACTATTTTCCCAGAGACTCTAAAATAATGCTTATGTCTTTATATGTATTTTGACCACGATACTTTATCTTCCTTTATTAACCCAACTTCTCATAGGCAAGTTTTATCATTTAAGTCTTTTTGCTCAGTGGACAAGATATGAATTACTTTTCCTATTTTTATATCCTAGTAGAATTACCTTAGAGTTCACAGGACTAAACAGCCTGCTGGAGATGCTCCTCTGGGCTACTTCTCTGTCCAGACAGTTATGAGTATTGAGTACAATGCTTTCATTTAATATTTTCATGTATTGTCATAGTCTTGGTCATTTGTATGTTCATCTCTAGACTGCCTAGAACACATGACTTCCAATGCTTAAGGGTAAAGGTTTGAAATTTCGGTCTAATTTTTGGTAATTATGTCACAGAGGAAATTATTTTGATCCTTTAAAAGCATCCTGGCTTGTTGAAAATCAAACACACACACACACGCACACACACACACAGACACGCATATGCGTGTACTCACAGAAAGTAAGCCCTGATGTATGGGACAGGTTTAATGTCTGAGTCATCGGGGAAGGGCTGGGTCTCTGTGTCTGCTCCTGCCTGCTGTGGATTTGTAATGAAGCATCCTGGTAGGAGTGTCGTGCAGGAGGAGGTGCTACCTACCTGCCTGCCTAGTGGATTAAGTTTCCATCCCTCAGAGCCCCGTTAGGAACAGAGAGCAGTTTGGGTTCTGTAACTGTGCTGAGTGAGGTAACAGCCTAAGTATGGCAACTGGAAGATTACAGTGTTCTTGGTGTCAGTATGAGGCTGGCCAGCCATGGGCTCAGTTTTGACACCTCAGACCTCAGCAGCAAGTGTGGCGAGGGAGCCGCAGAGACCTCTGGGGGCGATGGAGAGGGTTCGGACTCAAACTTAGATGCGGGAAATAGCAGTCAACCCTCATTGAACTAGAAGGAGTGAGATTGCAGGCACGTCAAATGCCTGAGAATTTTGTTTTTCTTATTTCTCCTTTTAAACAGGATCTCAATTGCTTTTCTAGAGCCCAGTTTGATGAATATTTATATGGACATTTGAATGCAAAGTTATTGATTTTTCCTATGAAAAAGCCTGGACCTTGAAGCTTACGTCTCTTAGCCTTTCATTAGCTAAACCAGAGCCACAGCCTTTCATTAGCTAAGCCAGAGCCACAGCCTGAGAGGCGGCTGGCTGTGCAGACTCACAGGACGCCACTGCCACCTGCTGTGCTTCCCGGGAGATAGCAGCCACCCTGGGAGCATAGGTGTCAAACAGAAAGATGGGACACTCCTGCCCCCAAGTATTCGTCACCCGGGGCTGCAGTGGTAAAATACAAAAACTGGGTGGCTTAGCCAACAGAACTTTATTTTCACACAGTTCATAAGGCTGGAAGTCCAAGATCAAGATGTTGGCAGGTTTGGTTTCTTCTAAAGCCTCTTACCTTGGCTTACAGATGACTGGCTTCTTGTTTTGTCCTCACATGGACTTTCTTCTCCGTGTGTACATGGCCTTGGTGTCTCTTATTCTTCTTATAAGGACACCAGACCTATTGAATTAGGGTCTCACACTTATGGCATCATTCAACCTTAATTACCTCTTGGCCTCATCTCCAAATACAATAACATGGGAGGTAAGGCCTTTAATATATAAATTGGGGAAGAGAAGAGACACAATTCAGTTCATAACATCCCATATTCACACCACACACACACACACACACGCACACACACACATCATGTGGCTCCCAGATATTTGAAAATATTTATGTGGCACAGAGTTGGGCTACCTTGGCTCACTGGCCCATCGGCTTCCTGTGGGTAAGAGGGTCCAGGCTACAGTGCCAATGACCTCTGGAGCT